TTTTTCTTTTACCTAACCCCTTTTTTGCCTTCATACACAAAACAAATTTTTAAAATTTTTCATTTTTTTATCAACTTAAATTTGAATTGTATATTTTATAGTCACACAAATAAACATGAATGAGTTTGTTTGTGTTAAACAAGAGCAAAGCATTAGAAAGAAAAATGGGGTCTAATGATGGTTTGATATATTTGGTTGTTTATTATATAAAAAGTATATTGTCATTAGATTATAACGAGATTAGTGTTTATATTGTCGTTATATTTATTAATGTGACTATTTGACATTGTTTGTTATAAGGTGGATTGACGATGTAGCGTTTTTTGTTTTAATGTTGTAACACAATAAAGCGATATGAATTTCATCCAAAAGATTATTTTTGATCAATCTTAAGTAATTGAGTTCTCATTTGTTAATTATTTTAAGTAAAATAAAACTGACTATTGGCCGGTTTGGGTTAGAAAGGGGTTTTTGAATAAAAAATAATAAAAAATGATTTGGACAATTTCATTTTTACTTATTTTTCTTCTTAAAAAAAGTTTTGGGTTGTGAAAGTGTTACTAAAATATAATTAATATAAAAAACTATTTGAATTAAAAATTTTTCATGTAAAATCATTTTTTTAAAAAACAAACAAAAATTAAATGTACAATAATCGTTTTGTTGTACGGGTAATTACTTATATATATATATTTGTTGATTGTTAAAAATATTATTTTTTTTAAATTTAATAGTGTTTAGAAACTTATTAAACATTCAAAAAGATATGGTGTTTATTACAATAACAATTGAAAATAATAAAATAATATGTCGTTATAATTATTACTAAAGTCACAAAAGAAAATTCAACAAAAAATTATTAACTCAAAGTATTTAAAACGTGAAACTAAACAAATTTTGGTCAAGTTTTATATTAAAATAATAATAATTGGTAATGTCTTGCAATTAAAGTATTAAAGGTGTATGTTAAACCATAGAGAATATTAAATGTGTATGATAGACAAATTTAAAACCGACTATTTTGAGCGTTTTTGTCCATGTTCTTGTTAAACAAGGCGTGTGTTGTCATTATTTTTGAGCATTTTAAAGTTGGCATGATTCGATTAAGCATATAAAGAGTAATAAAATTAATAAGTAACTGTTAATTTTATATGATTGACTCATCTATACAGATTATTAAATCTGATTGAAAACAGAAATTTTACAAAAACATCAAACTAACTAATATCTTGATATATTTTACTTAACATTGAAGAAATATTGATGCAAAAGTGATCGATTTAAAAACCAGCATAAAAGTTAAGAATGTGAATATTATGATGACTTACGCAATTATTACTTTTAAAATGGGACATTAAAAATACATTACTTCTGATTAGTTAAAATAAAAAATAAAAATCAACAGATCTATTTTTTTCATTCACAATGTATTAGACATTATAAAAAATATAAATTAAGAGACACATAAACTTTTCAGCTGTATATAAAGTAACGCAGATTACATATTAAATTAAAAACTTAAAATATCAACTTTATAATTTGATAAAATTGGGAAAATATATGTAACTTAATTTAAAACAAAACCGTTAATTAAAAAAATATTGACAAAGACGTTGTATGACTCACAAATTATAACTACAACGTTAAAAATGCCAATTGTTTGAAGTATTTATTTTATCATTTATTTAAAAGAAAAATTTTAAAAAATGGTATTATATAAAATTATATTGAATGCATTTCATTTTTAAATTCAATTAATAAATAAAAAACATTAAATTTTTGATTATTTTGTGTTAAGATAATCATTGTAATCTAATTACAATAATTTGAGAAAACCTATATTGAATAAAAATAACAATTACTTAAATTTGATATACTTCAGGAAGATACAACAGGACACAAAGAATGTATATGCCACAACTATCGAAACTTGTTGAACCCGGCGAGTTATGGCATCGTGAATCCATTTCTGAAGAAAATATTAAACACGAAGAGGAGATGCCTGTAATAACCTAAAAAAATCAAGGTGTTTTAACAGTGTGTTCGTTTCAGTGTTTAATTAGATGCGTAAAAGTCCCTGTCCTTTTTCACCGACCCTTAAAATTGATAGATTTTGTAAACCTTGATGTACATTTATACAAGTTGTGGTGACGTGGCATATTACAAAATAGCACTTGTAAAGTCAATGTGTTGCTTATGTTTGAAACGAAACACGAAATGACAAATAAATCAGTTAAGTTGGAAGACAACAACACTTTTTGGTGTGATTTTGTCATTATCAGTCAAAGCGTTTTGTTTGGCGGTGTAAGTGCGTGAGCTGCAATGACTCCCATTTTGACCTTTCTTGTACATATATATATATATATATATCATAACCACCACCAAATTTAAAAATATATATACCAATAAAACATTCAATGTGTAGTTTTTATTTTTACCAAACTTTTTTGGATTCAGGGTGACACTTTTCACAAATGAAAAAAATGAAAGAATTGACATTGTTAGCCATTTAACAACAACATTAATATTACCAATGAACACGCCACCAAATTTATTGTAATTTGTGTCTTCAACCAAGAAGCACAAGTTGCTTTTGTTCATGACTTTTTCAATTAACACTGATGCGCTTTTTGACCAGTCGTCTCTAGCCGAGTCAAACACAACACTTGCAATCTTCATCCCTGTCAACTTCTCAAGACTGGCTTTTTCTTTAAGTGAAATGTGTTGATCAATGTCAAGTGAATTGTCATCAACAAAGTAGTATTTATTTTTAGTTTTGTTGATGTCTTACACCGCCTTTGCTGCGTTTGTGCAGAGTGTTGAGAGTGCTGTCAACTTGTTTTCCATTGTTTGTTAATAGAGTTTATTTGTTTGTGTATTACATTTAATATATATTTTATTGTTAAAAATTAATGATTTAAAAATTAATTCATTTTTCCGTTTTACATTTGAGCAAAGTTAGACAATTCAAATTATATTGATTTTATTAACTTGGTTAATATTAATAAAATTAAAAACGCAATAAAAAATAATCAAAACTCGTTTCAGAAGTTTCTAAATAATTATTTAAAATTTCAAAAATGAGGTTTTCAGATTCACATTTACATTTACCCAAGTTACCATTTTATAACCCAAAATTTTATATTTTTTATAAATTTGTACATTATGATGACATATTTAAGACAATAATTCTTTTGGAAACGCCTGCTTAGTTTTTGAAAAAAAATTATAATAGTAATAATAGAATAAATAATTAACATGATTAAAATTCAAAAAAACTTCAATATAAAATATTTGAAAACAAAACTGTAAATACAAAAACATGTGTTTAAGTCAACTTGATCCATTTCATATAATGATCGTTTCGAAATATTTTATTTCAATTAAAGACTTTTTTGCACTTCAGAAAGTATGCAAAAAGTATTTAAATTTACTTTCCAAATTTCATTATAATCCCGTGCCATTGACTGTCAAAACACGGAAGTATTTTCCAAAATTAGAAACACTCCATTTGTACTCTCAAAAAGATTTTTCTTTTCCGCATGAAAAGTTTTTTAAACGAATTATTTGGTATCCAATTTCATATTCCGATATAATAATTTCAAAGTCTGTTGAATACAAAAATTTTTTAATTTATCGAAAAGACGTTTACGATGTGTATTTTCAAAGAAAGTTCGATACTGTCCTTGTAGGCGACAAAAGTACTTCGCCCAATACATTTTGTATTTCAAGTAACTTAGTCGCAATCGAACAGTCTGCGTTTCTAGCGTGTGATTTACTTTCTTCTGTATCTTTTCCACAAACACTCAAAGCAATTGAGTCGTGTGCTTTCAAAAACTGTAAAATACGTGATTTGGCCTTTCCTAAAGCGCTCACATTAATAGGTGCAGATGCCTTTGAATATTGTTATGCGTTAAGTACCATCACATTCCAATCGGATTATCTTGATATTAATGATTTTGCTTTTGACTCGTTGACAAACCTTAAAAGTGTGTCTTTTATTGGCAATAAATTTCCTCTTGAAATGTATGGATTAGACAATTCACAAATTGTCAAATGTAGTGTTAAAAAGAACGCATTTTATCAATGCAGAGGTCTCAATACAATAGATCTGCCAGAAAGAACGTCTTCATTGGGAAGATACTGTTTTTATAATTGTAATAATTTGACATCAATTTACTTTCCGTCGTGTCTTGAAGTCATCTCAGAGTGCTGTTTTAGTTACTGCAGAATGTTGAAATATATCAAAAGTGGCGATTTTGAACCACAAGAATTTGTCGCGCAATTTCCCGAAGAATTAAAAATCATTGGCAACACGTCATTTAACAACTGTGATTTCCATAAAATCGAATTTGGAGAAAATGTCAAATCAGTTGGTAACAAAGCATTCAGTGAAAACAAAAATTTGACTGAAATTGTTTTTAATGTGAAGGGAAAAATACAATTTGGTCAAAAACCATTCAATGGCGCTCAATTGACTTCTGTGATTTCAAAAAGAAGACCAGAAGAGTGGGAAATCGATTTTGGAGAAAGCGCGTTCATGTATATGGTGCGGCTTAACACTTTCCCATTTCCTAAAAAGGTCACTGCATTTGGCAATTTATGCTTTGCAAATTGCTTTAATTTGAAAGACACAATAAATGTTTCTGGTGTTGGGGAAGTCGCTCAATTCGCGTTTGTTAATTGTTCGTCATTAACATCAATTAATATTGATGGAACTGTCGAAGTATTAGGCGATGGGTGCTTCAAAAATTGTGTATCCCTCATTTCAATCAAACTGCCCAACAGTCTTAAAGTCATTCGAAATGAAAGTTTTGAAAATTGTAAAAAGCTTGTCAAGTTTGAAATGCCATTATATGTCAATCAAATTGGTTACCACGCTTTTAAGGATTGTACTGCTTTACAGAACTTTAAAATTAATAATAATATGATTTTATTGAGTATGGGGTGTTTGTGTGGGTGTACACAACTACAGAGTATCCAAGATATACCAAGAGAGTGTTTTAGTTAATTGTTTTTTTTTGTTTCTTGTCTACTATTTTCCGTTTAAATATCTTGAGCTCTTCGTTGCCACAAAAGCCGAGTCAATGATTGTCAGTCAATAGTAATTCTGATATTCTTCTCTAATGCTTCTCGAGATAAATAAATTGTACCTTCGC